TTAGCACGATTCACGACACCAAAACCTACAAGGATTCCTACCATATAGTTCTAGACATACGAAACATCAAGAAGACGCTCAAATAGTTCCACAAAAGAACATCGGGAAGTCAAAAGACCAAATACCGAGTCAAAAGAATCACGGGGAACAAATCCCCCAACATCCACAACAGGTACCCCGCGGGTGGGCCCACGGGTAAGCCCCTACCCGTGGTCCTGCCCGCGGGTACAAGCCTTTCCACAATATGTACCCCGCGGGTGGGCGGCGGGTGGGCCTCCTACCCGTCGTTCCGCCCGCGGGTACACCCCTGTACCTCAACAAAACACTTCGCGGATTTTCATCTCCAAACTCAAATTTAAGTCCAAAACATGCCAAAACTCACCAAATACAACAAAATGACTTGAATCAAAGGAATAGCCAAGTAATGGCATACAAGAACCCTAAACACAAGCTCTAGATATGAATTTTCACAAGACAATGCATAAACACTCACATTTCATAGCAAAACACATGTAGAATCCAAGAAATATTCATATAGGTAAGCAAAATAGATTTTGTAGAGCATGGGTTACCTCTTGAAGATTAAAGACTTCCCTTTACACTTCAACAAGCTCCTCACAAAGCTCACCTTCCAAACCCACTTCAAGAACATACCAAAAGATCATAAAGATCCTATCTTTAAGAAAAGACACCTTAGATAATACTAAAAACACAAGATGAACTTAGATCTTACCCTCCTAGATGCCCAAATATATGAAAGGTTGAATCTTGGAAGCAACTCTTGAAGTTTTGGTAAGGCTTCAATCTTGGCTTGGAAGGAAAGCTATCTACCTTTTTAGAGAGAAGTTAGAGCTAGATTTTTAGAAAGTGTAAGGAAAGAATGAAGGTGGTCTACTAGGTTAGGTTACAATACTAACACCAAGTGAAAGGTCAAGAATACCCTTACTAACATAAGGAAATGTAAGGGAACAAGGGAACTCCCTATAAAGCTTAAGGTACAACATTGACTTTGGGGTTGACTAGTCAATTACTAGTCCCCAACTATTGAATTTTCAGGATTTTTAGGAATTAAACCATTAATTGAAATATGGTTAATTACTCAATTAATCCCTTAATTGAATTTGGATTTCGGGGTGTCACATACCAAATGTAACGAGAGTAGTCATCAACAAAAATAACGAAATAACAATAACCATTAGTAGAAAGAATGGGAGCAGGTCCCCAAATGTCTATGTAAATTAAATCAAGGACACACGAACTAGAGGACTCAACACGTGGTAAGGGAAAACATGCAGATTTCTCTAACTGACAAGCATTACATAGACCTGAAGTACAACGAATATTATTTCTAGACCCACTAACCGAACAACCAGAAAGAATTTGACTGAGAACCCGTTGATGAGGATTACCAAGACGATCATGCCAAACAGACGCTGAGGCTCTAGCCGAAAGAAACGCAGTAGGAGACGAACTCGGAATGGGAAGCTTGTAAAGCCCTCCAGAACTATTGCCCCGTAGAAGGGTTTCCTTGGTGTTGATATCCTTCACAACAAAAAAAAGATGGGTGAAACTCAAAGAACACCTTTTTATCTGATGCAAATTTTTGAACGGATAATAGAGATGTAGACAAACTAGGAACATGAAGGATATTAGACAATTGAAAAGATCTAGAGGGGGAATTAAAGGTAGCATGACCAATATGACTAATAGGTAATCACATACCATCGCCGACACGTAACGTGTCATTACCATTATACTCTTCTAAGAAGGAGAGACCTTGAGGATCCGAAGGAGATTCTTGATATATGATGTTGGCCTGAGGATCCTTGGCATACCGAAGATGGCATGTGACAGCAGTATGACCCAACACGTGATAAAGTTGACACTTGGGTTGCCAATTGCCCGTTGCATCTGCCACCACCTCGGCCGCCACCACCGTGCGGCTAGTCGGTTTGGCCGCTGTTTTGGCCATTGTTCTGGCCAGAACCACAGCCTCCGTTATTACGACCTGAGCCGCGACCTTTCTGTCCTCCTCTTTGCGCCGTGAAAGCAGTCGGCGAGCCACCTCCGGGACCACCGTGCAACATGAATTCCTCCGCGCCCAAGAGATCCGCAAGCCCTTGGAGCGTAACAGGCTGGCCGCGCACATTGAGAGACGATGCAAGCCCCCTGAACTCTGGTCGTAACCCCCGAAGAACGTAAATGTTTTGTTCTTCAAGTGTCATAGGTCGGCCGACGAGAGATCAAAATCCTAGCCTTGCCGATGTAGTCAACCGTGGAGCAGATTCAAGCCACAGGAGCGGGAAGACGGGGCAAGTGCACTAACCACAGCAGTCCAGACAGTCCGACTGGTGCGGTGGCCGATGGCGAGGGGCATGACCTCGTAGGAAAATGATGACATCAACATGGATAATAGAGCTTGGTCCTGCCGGATCCATGCACGGTGCGCCAGACTGGGTTGCGCTGCTGCTTTGTCATCACCGTCGACGGAGAGGCTGGCCAGTGGGCATGGATTCGTTCCGTCAACGAAACCAAGAAGATCATGACCATCAAGAAATGAGACAACCTGGGCTCTCCAAAACAGGTAGTTCTTGTAGGTCAACTTAATGTTGATGAAGTGGGGAGCGGTGGATAAAGAATTAACCATCAATGTAGCGGAAGAGAGAGGAATATTAAAGACAGTCCGTTCAGAGGAATTAAAAACCTTAGCTTAGCTGATACCATATAAGAACTGATAGAGTTGTATTGAATGGATAATATTACAATGTATTACAGATATATATAAGAATGAAGTCTCAGTGAGACTGAGATAGGAAATCATAATCAAACTCAAATACATAGAGTCCTAACACAAAGTATTTTATATTTTTCCATTCAAAAAATACTTTTATATTCTTCCATTCAAAAATATCTCTTTTGATTATACACACATATTTATGTGAGTATATTTCATTGACTACATAATAACATTGCCCATAATAAATGACTAGCTGTATTGTAAATTTTAAAAAATTAAATAGAAAACAATACTAAATTCTCCTATTGAATTTACCTCATAATATTCAACTCATGTGTGGCACTACTTGATTGAATTTTTATTTTTTTTTGATATATTTAATTATTAAGTAAATATTTTAAAATTCATTGTTGGATAAATTTATGAACGAAAATAGCATAATATGAGATGGTTTTGTATTTAATATTAAATGTATATATAATAAATATAAAGGGTCACACTTGTGTAAGACCGTCTCACAGATTTTATTCATTTGACAGGTCGAGTCAATATGCAATTGTAGTACTTATACTAGCAAATGTAATACTAAATATTATTCCTCTCTCCATTTTATCTGTCCTACTTAATATTCATTGGTCAAACCAACTCTTTCTTTTTTGTTTATTTTCTTTAGTATTTTTACTTATTTTTAAATTTAATTTTTGTGTCTAATAGTATTTTTAGTGTGGTTTATAAATATTTAAGTTTTGTATATTAATACTAAACTTAATATTATGAAAAATTGGATTAAAACTAACTTCAGTCAAGCCTCATTAAGGACCAGACACATAAAATGAGACGGAGGGAGTACATTTCATCTTGACCCGACCCGTCTCACAGACAAAGATCCATGAGACATTCTCACACAAGCTTTTACCTAAATGTTAATATTTTTTAAAATATTGCTTCAGTGGATAGTTTTGAAATGAAGTTATAAATGTTATTATATTGTATTTATAGAAAGGAATAATTGCCAACTACCATGTAGTTTGATAGCATCTCGGTTACCATTTCAAATGGGTGGTTATAGATTCGAACTCCGGTGGTAGGGCTTAGATTCTTCGAGCTAGAAATATTTGAGAAAGTATAATTTATATACAACATTGTAAAGAATCATGAGTATTTAAAAAAAATAGAAAAGAATAATTTTTTGGAAATTCCAATATAGTATGAAAAATCTTTTTTTTTTTTACAGATGGAATAATAAATATGCACATAGTAAATAAAAAATGGTTTCCATTCCATCTCATGCACAATTATATGTATGTGTAATGTGTTTATCACTTAATGGTAAAATCAATATAATATTGTTTACTCTTTATCTCATTTTATTTATTTATTTAGTATTTATTGGTGAAATCAAGTATTTATTATTTACTTTTTTTTCAAATGATTTATTATAAATTTAAATTTAAATGTTTGTATTTAATAGTACCTTTATATAATTTCTAAACATATAAATTTAATTCACTAATATTAAACTAAATATTATTTAAAAATAAAATTATAAATAACTTAACTCAAACCTTATTAACCAAGTAAAAAACAAATAAAATGAGATTAAAAAAATTAACTTATGTATCACTCCACGTATTTTAAAAAACTAATCTCATATATTTAACATAATTCATAAATATATAATTTTAAAGATTTTAAAGGATTAGTCAATCAGCACAGAAGTTTCCATAAATGTTATTCATACTTAGGAGCACCTATTCTAGCATATTCATACAAAATCGGAGTAGGCAGGTCGAGGTACCCACTATCCGGAGTACCCTCTCAATTGAAAAAAAAATGTATCCATTAAGTTTGGTTAGGTGAGTTTAACTAGAGTGTTATATTTACACACAAGACTATTCTTCCCGCAAGCTTTGCGGGGACTACTTTAAGATGACGGATAATCGTCTTCTTAAATAACTATATAAATAGTATTGAGTTAATATCCACTTTAATCATTGATTCTTCTCGAATTGGTCATAAAATACTTTTTTCAAATTTCTATACTACCTATAAACCAATTGACGAAAACGAGAAGGAAAGTGATTAGTGAGAATAGTGGCCAAAGAAAACGCGTTCACACAGCTAGCACCGAGCTTTGTAGAAGAAAAAGCATGCCAATTTGGCAGAGCCAGTGTAGCAGCAGCAGCAAAAGAAAGAAAGGCCACATAAATACACCACCACCGCATCATTTCCGTATTTAACACGTAAGCAGAGGTCGTATCTCCTCCCTTCACATATCATCTCTCCTCTCTCTATATATATGCACACACATCTTTCTCATCTATCCGATTTCTTGATTGATATTGTCCGACTTGTTTGTTTTTCTTGTACCCATATAGAAAACCACACAGATGGAGGGCCAAAAGGAGGTAAAATTTCTGTGCCCTTTTCTTGTTCCAACTTCTTCTTCCTCCTCTTTTCCCTGGCTTGTGATGGTTCTTGATTTCTTCAAGTTCTGTGAAGTTTTACAAGCAAAAGCTGGTTTGGTTTGCCTATCAGCCTCTTAAAGAATTTGTTTTTATACATGATTTCATGGTTTTTTTTTTTTTTTTTTTTTGAGATTTGGGTTCTGCTTTCCCCTTTGTTTTGGTATATATTCATTTATTCAGTGGTTTTGGTTTCTGGGTTGGGGGCTGATTTTGGTATTAATTCTTGAAATTGTTGTAAAAAGTTATCCCCTTGTGTTTGTGGACTGGACTGTTTGGCAGGCAGTCAGCCAGGCAGCTGTGTACAACTTCCATGGCTGCTGCTGAAGTGGTGAGACATTTTTTGTGAAGTTGTGGTCATAGTTTAATAGTGTATTCAATCATTATGTTCAAACTTCAAAGGGCTTTTTGTCAAAGGCCTTAAAAGTCTTCTGATTTTCTTCTTTAATTTTTCCCTGTTTGGAGGCTTGGAGCATTAATTTTCTTCCTTTGTTGGGACATAATGATCACCTACCCTCACAGCCAAAATCAGTAAAAATAATAATAATAACTACTTTTCACTTTTCTAATTTTCTTGTACGGATTAATTTCTTTCTAAACTTGGTGTAGTAGAGAACATAGAATCATGTGTGTATATTCCTTGTTTCTTTCTTTGTTTGCAAGCTAATTTTTCATTCTAAAATCTGCACTTCTGGGTCAAAACATAGAATCAATCTGTGACTGCACAATCAGTTTCTGGTTTCTTTTCTTGATATCTAAATTTTCTGCATATAATGTTTGATAAAATAGGAAGAACAACACTTAATAAATAAAGTAAGTATTTTGAGATTAATTCAGTGCTTGTGTACAATGAATGGATGATGGTTGGATTATGTAGAAGATCTTGACTTATGCAAATAATAAGTTGTATTTGAATCTTGGAATACTACTAGTACAAGAATCTTGGAAAACTTGGAAAATTTAAATTAGGTGAGGATGCCAACTACTATGTAGTGTGATGGCGGTACCTCTGTAATCGTTCCAAATGGGTGGTCACAGGATCGAACCCCGGTGGAAATGATGAGTGATGGTTGGTAGTTGTAGGGTGAGTGTATATTGAATGAATGTGAATTTACTTATTACTGTGCAGAAGAATGCATCATGGCTATCTGTGCCACAGTTTGGGGACTGGGACCAAAAGGGAGCATTGCCAGATTATTCATTGGACTTCTCCAAAATCAGAGAGATGAGGAAACAGAACAAGAGGGACTTGTCGAGGGCGAGTCTCGGGAATGAGGAAGAGCTTATGTCTTCCACCGCTGGCAGTGCAAATGCAGGCCACTCGGCTCACAGCGACGACCACCATTACAATCAAAACCAGTCTCCAACTGTAAGATTCTGCTTATCTTAGCCTTTTCTTTAATTTAATCTATGATTTAGCCCTTGCATTCAGATCATAAATGCAGCAGCTTTAATGCTTTATATATATATATATATATATATATATATAATTGCCTCAGACATGTAGTTGGTAGTTTTATTATTAATAATAAAGGGAGGGGCAACACAATTATATAGTGGGATGCATGAGGGTAGGACCATGGTGACAATGCTTACTTCTTTTTCTGAGTTGGATCATGGATGGAATATAGGCTGTAAATGTGGGGTTTCCAAATCCTTTCTTCAATTGAAATCTCACATAGTTTTATTGGGAAAAGAATACCATTTTGGCCCTTCCAACTGTTTGCATTTACTCGGTTTTTGACTAAACCGTAACAATTGAATGGCTAAAATTTCACTTTTCTCCTTTTAGTCGGGTTTGGTTGCCTTCACCCACAACTGGAGAAGGCGACCAGTTGGTCTGCTTTCTCCTTCGCCGGAAAAGGCGACCAAGTTGGTCACCTTCTCCAAACGCTACCGGCAACCATTAATGGTCGCCGAAAATTGGTCGAAGGCTCATCGGAGTTGGCTGGAGGGACGCCAAAACCCTAGTGACCTACAATTACAGGTCAACAATCGGTTTCTAGACTTCAATGCTTCAAAATAACATGTTTATGAATTTAATTGCGACTTTTAAAAGTTTAAGGGCCTGATTAACTTTTTAAATAAACTTGAGGGGTCTATATAACCATTTTTCCAAATAAATATGAAATCAGGAAGAATGAGGGGACATCTACCCCTAAACAGACCAAAACCAACCAGCTAGGGGCTACGGCCAGATTTAAGTGAAACCACATGTATCAATGTAAGGCTAATAGAATAGCCAACAGACATCTGAATGTGGATAAGTACTATGTCACATGAAAAAGCTGTAAACAATTAAGTTGCATAATTGAGATGTCTGCTTCACGGGGGATGGAATGTTTATATCAACACTCAGAAAAGGATTCATGATCGGATTCTTCTTTTAGCAGAGAAACATGCAAGTATAGGCAGCGCACATGCAATAAACTTATTGTTCCAGAATTTAATATTGGCATGTTAATATAAAAATGGCAGCATGATCTGGAAATGTGACATCGCCCCTCATGTGTTTTTCACAGTTTTTGAGAACATTTAGGACCTGTTTGGTAGACTAAAATACAACCTAATTATTGGGGAGCACAATTATATTGTTTGGTTGGAGGGAATTGTGGAATCGCAATTCCTCCATTTGTGGAATTAAAATTCATAGGGCTTCCACTAAGAATTCCAATTTAGTGGTGGATGCAAAGGAAAAAAAAATGAAATTACAACATTACCCTTGATGATGATTATTATTATTATTATTATCAAGGGCATTTTAGTCTTTCTATTTAATTCCCTGAGTAACACTTGTGTGAAATCATTTCACGGGTCGTGAGACGGGTCGGATAGTTGGAGTCAAATCTTTGGTTAATGAGTCATCTTTGACCTCATTAATCAAAAAATCGACATGTCTAACAGATTGAGACCCATGAGACAGTCTCACACAAGTTTTTGCCCCAAAAATTATATTCATGTCTACCAAACAATGTAATTTAAATTCTTACTGCAAATGATTAAAGGGCATATGCATGGTAGAGGTAAATTTGCGAGTTTTTAATCTGACCAGCTGTTATGATTGTTGTTTGGACAGACGAGGAGGAGCATCTTCAGATGTTTCAACTGCTGCGTGAAGGCTTGAAAGTTGATTGTGTACCAAAAGCCATTATTATTAGAGTAATTTACCTTGTTTTAATGATGAAATGAAATCCCTTTGCTGCTTAGAAGTTGAATGTTTTCGTTAAATTCACGCTGACAGTGATGATTGATTGATTGTGCACTTTGTTCCTGTCATCATTTAGAGATGGTGCTCAAATTGTTAATAATGGTTTTTACCTGTGACTTCAAGGTTTCATTACTGCACCCCAAAAATATGTACTAATTAAATAGTAACTGATGACGAAATTAAACATCACAAATCAAAGTGATAAAATTTATTTCATTCCCACTTCCCATATACCAAACGGACAAAAGTAATACTCCGTTGTTGTTTCGTTCTCTAGGCGATGACCGCATCCCTAACAGAATAATGCCAGCACTCATAACTTTGTTTTCAATATTGAGATGTGTTTTTAACCTGATCGGTTGACCACTTGAAATTAGATTGGACCGAATACCACAAGTAGATAACTGGGTGAACACAAAGTGTACCAAACATATTTGGCTATAATGCACATGGGCCAAACTACTAAAAAATTAGTTCAGTCAATTAACTAACCTAATTCATAACTTTAGTTCTCTCTTATAGTTTCAAGATAGGACTCTTAACAAGATGATAATAATATAGATAGATAATGTAACAACTAATTCGATCTGTCATTCTATTGCAAACCAAACAAAGGCAAAATTCGCATTTGACACTCTGGAAACTACAGGACAACACTCCGGAACTGAAACAACAACTAGGAAGCTTCCATGCTAAAACACACAACATTTAGCAACTAGTTATGTGCATGCACCTGGAAGTCGTAAAATTAAACCTTCTTAATAATTTGGACAACATCTTCATCCTCCAGTTCATGCTCCTAGTGAATGAAAAGTTCACGATCAGTAACTTACTCAAACAGAACATAATTAAGTAGAGGTTTGAACAATAAAGGTAAAAGGAGGTGCACGTGTTTCGGATAACTGACCTTGCCCACTCTCTGTGGCTTGTGCTTTGCACTTGAACCCCAAACCAGTGCACTGCAGCAAGCAGCCAGAAATTTGCTTAGTAGGATCCAAACCATAATAATATCTTTACTGTGCTATATATCAAAGCGCTAGGCGTATAATTCAGTGTTATTTGAGTTGAAGAATCTAAAAAGTCCTCAGATGTAACACTGCCCCCCCCCCCCCCTCTTCCACTCTCCATTGTGTTTCTTAAGCACGAGAATTTGACGTCTCATGTCTTCTGCATCTGTTGCTGGAAATTAATATATTCAAGTAAAAAGACAAACTTGTGAAGGGAAAACTTACTATTTGAATTGTTTAACCATATCTTTGTGAATACGAAAGCAGAAGTCCTCAACTGTCGTCTTCTTTGATGACAAAATTACAGGATCATCATAGTCTGGATTCATTCCTTTGGGCTTTGTGTATATGCGGGTTAAACTTAGGTATTCCCAGATCTTCTCAAGTAAACCATCAAGGTTCCACTCCAGATGAGCACTGCAGCAAATTAATCAAGACAGAATAACCCTCCATTTAGTTTAATCTGAATGAATTCTGAACCCAGCCTATAAATTTCTACACCAGTGCAATAAACCTCCTAATATAGGATTGATTACCTGATTGGACAATAGTGTGGAAGTTTATCCAGAATCTCCAACTCTTCCAATGTAATCTGATCGATCTTGTTTACAACATAGATGCAAGGCATATACACTCTACTACCTTCGATGACATCAATAAGGTCGTCAGCAGTTGCATCATACCTGAGATGAATATCAGCATTGTGTATTCTGTATTCGCTGCATATTGCCTTGACAGTATCGAGGTCAAGATTTGTGTTGGTAGCTGTTGATGTCAAATTAATTCCACCCTTATCTTTTTTCCTAAATGTCAAATTAGGTGGTTCTTTGTTCAACCTATAATTGTAAAACAAAGAAATGGTCGTGAACACACACAAGTACCAAGCAGAAGTAGAACAGCTAGCAGAAGAGTATTGTTACCTAATTCCAAATCCTTCAAGCTCTTTCTCTATCAGGCGCTTGTGAGTAATTGGTTTTATCGCATCAAGAACAATCAGAATGCAATTGCACGTCCTAGCAGTACTGATAACCTGATTGTAAATTACAAGAATAAAAGAGAATGATTACAAATTCACAAAACATAATAATTTATGGGGAATTGTTCATAAACAAAATCTCAAAGATTCTATAAAATGACGGACCAGTGAACAATGTTCCCAATACATTACATCTAATGTCTGTGCAGGCGTCTATTATACATAGCCTTCTCTTGCTTTTCATAACAAGAGACCATTTCTGAGACTCAAAACTCTTGATTTCCTGGTCATATAGACACCTCTATCATCATACCAAGGAGACCGCATGCGCACTTACCAAGCAAACCCTATTGGCTATCATTGCAACATATTGTAGCCATTGCACTGCTTGTATTACCATTATAAATCAAGATTTGGTTAGGGTCAACACATGGGCCAAAGCACACTACTAACCAATTAGCTAGTCTAGCCCATGGCCTTATAAAGGCATATGCTCTCTCTTATTTTATCAATATAGGAATCTTAACACTCCCCTCAAGTGGACAACTAGGCCATTTTGAATCTAACCGGTTGACCACTTGAAATTGGACCGAACCCTCCCTTGAAACGAAAGCTCTGGACGCCACCAAAGTGGACCGAACAAGCGGGCTTACAGGTGAACACAAAGTGGACCGAACAGGCTCTATACCATGTTATAAATTAAAATTGGGCTAGGGTCACTCAATTGGGCTATAATGCACATGGGCCAAACCACACTAAAAGATTGAATCCAACCAATTAGCTAGTCTAACCCATGGCCTTATAAAGGCATATGTTCTCTGTTATGTTATCAATATGGGACTCTTAACAACCATAATGGGGGAAAATGGAACATATTACCAGAAACCCAGAGGAATGTCAATATCAGATTAACCCAAAGGGCAAAGGTCATACTAATTCAAGCACAAGGAGGTCCACATATATAACCAGAATGAAGACAGCCATGTTACTACCCCAATGCGTCATACACGGAAAAAAATTGCTAAATATTAATGTCAGCAATCACACCACAGAAATGACATTTTGGAATTTTATTTGATTTCATGAGGGAGCAGCAAAAGGTAACCGCTATAATGTAAAAAACCTCTTCATCAATCTAGCTCTATCACTCTTTGTTATGCACTTCTATTAAGCTAAAAAGTTTAATTGGAGATTGGTTTCCAGTTATATGCCCCTCCTTTAACACTTTACTAGCTTACTTTGGACTTCATTCTCTTTTTGTGTTCATGTGCATTAACGTGTATAGGAGTTGGGGTGGAGGTTGCCACACTATGGCCCATGCCAATTAAACTGTAAATAGCTGGGTTCAAATGGAGCTTGGCTTGTTTATGTGATATCACATAGACTAACAATCTGGTGATAACTTTGGCATTCTCATGAGAAGGCACACAGCTCATCAAGTGCTACTTAGCTACAATGGTATATCCTAGTTTAGTGAAAGAAAAGGACAGATATCATACCCAACATGGACAACAATACATCAGCCATCCAGAAATGTCTGTGCTTCATAGATGGCATACTAGAGAGAGATGTCCAGTGATAAGAAGTAAAGAAAGGCAGACCAAAGACAAAAATACATCAAACAAACGAGAAATCAGTAAGTTGTAAGATCAATTTTTTACCTGCCTTCCTCTACCTTTTCCATCTTTAGCACCCTCAATGATACCAGGAAGGTCCAACAACTGCCAACCGAAACAGGAGAAGAATGAAAACATGTAAACAAAGTTACAACTAAGAATAAAAATTTAAGAATTAAGGGAAGTCTCAGATGAATTACTCGTGTATGTCTGTATCTATCACTATCAACTAAAAAAGAAACAGGACATATAACAAATCAGTAGCAAAACTATGTAATCTATTTGGTAGAAATACTTATGGAGCAGTTATTACTCTGTATGCAAATGATCTAATCTTTCAAATGGGAACAAATAATTACAAGTAAATAAAAATGGAGGTAGATACTACTGTAGAACTAGTTAAGTATAAGTTCAGGTACCTGGATTTTAGCTCCTCTATACACGATCACTCCTGGAATACAAGTCAAGGTTGTAAATTCATATGAAGCTACCTGTAAACCATAGAAAAAGGGCTCTTAGAGGAAAGACTTCACAAAAGCTTTGCCACTAGAAACTCCCCCTTTGCATTGACATTATATCCCTAAAAACTAAAAAGTAATTTACTAGTCATGCCAAAATGTCCGTAATACAGAGAAAAAGTAAGAAATATATAAACAACTAATGCAAAAGAGAATAAAATCTTAGCATCATGAAGTGATACTTGACTGTTGATTGATAGCCATCAACTTAGTCTTTCCACTGTAATAATTTGTGAATTGTGATTGTTTGGATAGTTTTTCCTCACACAACTACTAAAATTGGAAGAAGTGCATGCTCATTTTATTAGTTTTCAGAACATAGACAGGACAAACTCACAATTTCCAAGAATCATTTATTAGATCAGAGACTGAAAATGGTTATAAAGGTAAACAAACAATCTATAACCAAAGCTGAAATTACAAATTTAATCAGCTTCATGACTGGAATTGGCCCATTGGAAAGAACTATGGTATATCGTTACTCGCGAAGAGGATTAAGTTTTTTTACAATCCTAACATATAAAACCCATGCCTTGTAATACATCTAGAAATTTAAAAATTGAACAAAATGTATGTGACTATGTGTATAAAAGCATAGCATACTGTCAAAACAATAACCTGATCCAAGACACTTTATTCAACATTTTCAACTTTTAGGTATCCAAATGTTTGTTTAAATAGTCAAAAGTCATACAAATATCAGTATGTTCGACTTTTTAAAATTTATTGTTTGACAAAACACAACTTTCAAGCATTTAAACTCAAAGGCTAATATTGTTTAAACATTTCCTCTATCAATACTCTCTCCCTCCCATTAAATTAAATAAACAATAATTCCAGTTTTTGTCTACACTACATGTAATCTCATGTTACAATTCTAACTGTAGCATGGCTTCAATATTATAAGAAGTTGGTAAACTTAAATTTTAGTACATTGCTGTTCAGCTTGGGTTTGTTGGAATTTAGTGCTCTCGATGGGGGTATTAAAATGTCAAGCAAGGTCAAAGATGCATTGGGAAGTTGGAATTTTGAAAAAAAATAATAATAAATAAAAGGAGATACCGAGAATGGATTAAGGATCTTTGTGGAAACACTTAGGGTGTGTTTGGTTCGCACATGGGAATCGGAATCAGAATGGGTATCAAATACTTGGTAAATGTAATGGGTTTTGGTGAAAGTATTTTGCATGTTTGGTAGTAGGGTGGAATGGGAATGATTAGGCTAAGGATGAATAATGGGATGAAACCCTTATAAAATAAGGGAATGGGTTTTACCATTAATGGGGTATTCCAAACCCATAGTAGTTGTTTAAAAACTAAACACACCCTTAGATAAGCTTAAGCTCGTATAGGTTTGTTTTTAATGCTACTGACTCTATTACATTGTAGTATCTGTTCAAACATACTTTCTCAACCTATTGAATCACAAAGAGTCAACAACGCCTCCACTGAGGCTCGATCTCATGACCTCCCATATGAGAGAGTCACTACATGTCATCTGAGCACAAGGTGCTTGGCAAGCTCGTATAGTTTGATTGAAGGCATTATGCAAATTTGGATGGTTACACCTTGTGACCTCGGTCCCTTGTTGAATATATTCTCTCAACTTATCAAAAAATAAAAATAAGAAAGTTGGTAAAACTTATTTGAATTCTTTACCAACTTAAATCACGTCACATTGGATGTAAAGAGCAAAAGAATGCCTAGTAAATAAAATTGAAAATCTCATTTGACAAAATGACCATGAACCACAATTATGTGATAATGCAGTATTTTCTTCTACCACAGTACGTAACACATAATAAGATGGCAGGGAGGATTTTCTTCTATCATAGCATACAAAACATATAAGTATGTCCAACACACCTCTGAAAAGGTGCCTGTCAACTTGTTCAGTAGTGTAGATTTTCCAACAGAAGGAAAGCCCACCAGACCAACTCTAGAATCACCACTTTTTGTAACATCAAAACCTTCCCCAGCACCACCACCACCACCTTTTGACGAAGGTGCAAGAAGTTCCCTTCGCAGTTTTGCAAGTTTAGCCTAATGAAATAGACAAAACAACTGGGTTAAGTGCATAAGATATTAAATGCATTAATATATTAGACAACTGTTATTTCTAAGTGTATGTTCCTATCTGGAATTCAGTGCATATGTTACGCATCCATTAACCATCCACATTATGAAAATAAATTTAAAAAACAAGAATATTGAAGTAGGTCCATCAAAAACCCAAGTGGTGTGTCATTGCCTCTTTTTCTTTAAAGAAAAAAAGGAGGGGGTGATGGTTCCTAAATCGAGTTTAAGAAGGCTCCATAATCCCTATACCTAACAATTAGAAGTAATTTTAATATTAGTTCTCAAGATAGGTGTCCCCATTTCCCTATTAATTTCCCTGGATTTGTATACTTATCCAAGTCTGTTGTAACCTCTACAAACTCAATATAATTAATTCTATTCTTGGGATTTTGACATTCAACGTTTCTCTTATTCAAGTTATAATCCTTGCATCATCCCTTGTTCTTGGTTTCTTCTAAATTGTTCACACACCTAGCCAGCAGGTATTAGCTTCTTACAAACCTGTACCAGCCAGACCACTGCCTCATGATTTCTAACAAAATAAAAGGATGAGAGATGATCAAAATAATTCCCATCTTAACATAACAGAATGCAAAAGGTGCTACCTTTAACAGGCCAAGGTGATGAGCAGTAGCTTTATTCTTTTGAGTCCTTGCCATCTGAACAAAAGAAAAACTCACATTATTCTTAAATAATTTATCACAAATTCAATATCAAGAATAGAACAGTATTGCAATATGCAATTATATTAAGTTAAGATCTAAAGGAAATATCTACAAATTGAAAGAATAAAAGACTCATCAAGAATGGTGCTTGCCAAGATAATATTACACAGCATATATATCCATGCAAGGCCAATCACTTTCAGATTCTTTTTTCCTCCATGAATAATAAAAAATGAACCCATAAAATTCATATACATATATTTCATATTTCGATTATAAGTGAAAAGAAAAAATAGCTATATGCCTATATGAAGTGTCTAGTAAATCACACAACACAGTTTTGCACTCTTTCTGCTTCTTCTTGAAACTGAGAATAATTAGGAGGAAGAAAAGTGACAAACATGTTTTTCTGCATCCATTGTTACTATAGGATACAGGAGGCCTAATAGTACAAGGAATGGCACAAATGGTAGAATTTACACCAAAATCATCTGTCTTTCTACTGTATTTAACTTCCTCTCACCGAACAAACCAAAAATTTTGAGCATTTTCTCTAATAGGAGAAAGGGTACCCAAAAATATTAATTTTAAGTCAAAGCTACTGCTAGGAAAGAACCAATTCATTTCACAGCAACAACGTTCTAGGTATTTCTATATGCAAAAAGGCTAGTTGCAGCTAACACAATGAACGGTAACATACTGAATAAAGCAATAACAAATCTTAATTTGAATATAATAAATGATGAAAATGAGCTTATTTTAACAGCGATTTCATACAATCGGCTGAGTTCAAAAGCAAAGTTTAACAATTCAAATCATGTCTATAAATTATGAGCGTAACATTACCTCATCTTCGATGTCTTTGATTTTCTGCATCACGGTGGCCATTGTTCCAAGATGACGTATGAAAACGGCTACGTGAATGATAGTAGCAGACTATCTACGTCTGTACTTGCCGATGATTCACCGGAACGATAAAAGAAGCGCCTTATTTCGTTCGGAGCGCCGAGCTGGAAGAGCGAAAGTTCTAGAGGGGCGAAAACGGGAGCATCCAATATCCAACTCTGACTCTGTAAGCAGGGTTTAAAATACGGGCCGGGTATGCATCCGCCATCCGACCATTGGACCATGCTGTGGCCTGTGAGCCTGTGAGCCTGTGACCGACCCGTTATAAGTTCAATTGTTATACCATGGACCATGGTTCATATTCCATTGTAAATTTGATACAAAAATTTTGTACTTTCAGTTACCTATAATTAATTATTTTTGTACATGTAAATAAATAACTTAATAATTGCTGACACATAATATGATAGTTACAGGTACATAAACTATTAAATGTAAGTACATAATGTGTCAACTATAAATATATAGGCTCTGTTTGGCAAACCTAGCTGAAAAGCTATAAGCTAGGAGCTGATAGCTGAAAAGGAGCTGAAAGCTGAAAAGCTATAAGTTCGGAGCTGAAAATTGAAGAGCTGTTAAGCTAGCTGTTATGATTGAAAGTGTTTGGTAAAATTAGCTTTTTGATAAGCTGATAAATGTAAAAAGACTAAAAATGACATCTTCATAAAATTTAAATTAGTTTGTTTACATATTAAAATTTAACATTTCGTCTTCCAAAAAAAAAAGTAAACACTTTTTAAAATAACACTATTAGCATGATCATGATCTAGCATCCCATAATGAAGTAGCAATATTGTTGTGAATCTCCTTCATCTCCATAGAGGTGTGACTTAAATTTTTGTTGATGGAGATATTACTACTTGAATCTTGAAGTTCATCAGGCGGTATGTAATCTGGATGCTGCTCAAGCACATTAAACATCATATCATATTGTGAATTCTTCCGAATATAATTATGTAGTGCAAATGTGGCCATATTGCTAATTTAATAATAATAATAATAATAATAATAATAATAATAATAATAATAATAATAATAATAATAATAATAATAATAAGCTAAAGTTTCAACATAATTGTTTAGCAGGAAACAAGACTAAGGAAGGGATTGACGTGAAAATTGGGATAGGAGAAGAGAAAGGATTTTAATTCATAAGGTTAAAATATGTCATTACTTTAAAATAATAAGGGTAAAGATGGAAAAAAAGTTAGGAAGCTAGTAGCTTATTTTGAAACGCTACCTAAAGTAGCGTTTCAAAATAAGCTCTTATTTTAAGCTAGGAGCTTATTTTGGAAACATTACCAAACAGAGCTTATAGCTTATTAGTAGCTTAAAATAAGCTATAAGCTCCTAGCTTAGCGTTGCCAAACAGAGCCATAATCTGAAGGTTATTTTTGGACCAGGGTCTACAATGCAAGGTAAACCCTGGTCCATAGTATAATTTGAGTTAAAAGTATTTTTTTTTAAATAATATATATTAAACAAACAAATATAAGTGCGAAATAAAGTATTCAATAGGAAAGACGAATGGAGAACCAAAGAATTACCATTGCGACGGTGAGAACGGCGGAGGACCAAGACCTCGTGGAGTGCAGTACAAAGAAATCAAAGACAAATGGAGAGACACCAACATCATTCGAGGAAGGGGTCGCAATGGAGGGAGTCAAACAAAATGCAAGCAAAAATGGGGAGAATACTACCCCCCCCCTCCCCTGTACTAGAATGGAGAACAACCAACCTGCTCCAACTGAGACCTAGCCAAGGGTAGCGTCGTTCAAAGAAACTATGACTGGGGAAAAACCAAAAGAACGCACGCCGGACAACCTGGAGTCAGACGATGATGAGGAGGACTTGGATGAAGATCCTAAATATAACACCCCCAATTTCCAGGCCATTTTAAACTTAATTATGCAAGATAATCTAACCACAATATAAGCAAAACACAGCGGAAGTCTAACTATATAAAACTGGAAAACGAAGAGTGTTATGCCACGTCCACACTAAGGTGAATGCACAGGCGAGAACAACATCAACATCATCAGTCTAACAAGGGACAAGGTCAAACCAACAACAATCTAATGTTCATCATAAAAGGCACACAGGCCCATAACAAAGCTAACAAAGTCTGAGGGAACTACACTATCCATCACTAGATCGCGCTCGCCACTACTCGAGACCTGAAAAACACATAAATAAATGGGACGACGCCCGATCAGCGAATAATGCTGGTAACACACCAATACATGTTAAGTATCATACATAGATAGTATATACAAAATCATTTTCGAAACGGAATACTGTATATATAAGTTCAAAGCCAAAGATAGAAGTCAACCACAAGACTCTATATCACTCTCAACAAGAATAAGGGAACACATCCCAAGACATCAAGACGTAACAATGACAACACAAGTAATGCTCAAGGTACATTCTACCATCACTCAGTAGAATATCACCCGACATGCTCAACACAAGAGAATAAAGACACATATTGGCAACACATGCCTTTGTGACATCACTCGTCACGAATAGAGAAATACAACAACGGCAACACATGTCTTCATGACATCACACATCACGAATCAATAATCCTTCCTTATGCCCGGTTCCAACCTTATGGCTACCCCCAACCTTATATCTAGTTCCAACCTTTACCTCCAGGACCCCTGTACTTTTGAGTCCAACCTTTTCCCTCCTGGGACCGTCGTCCCCCATCAACGACCACCAACAATTCCACAAATTCATAGTACACGAGGGTACCGATCACACACTTTGGCAACACATACCTCCCAAGAAAACGTGAACCCATCACACATGTCACAAACTCCATAATCACGTCATGGCCACCACGAGGACCACTGCCGTACCTTGGTGACTAATGTCCCATACCATTAATCGTGCAATCCAGGTACAGCCACACACACAACACCATCATAGGAGTCAATCAACGGATCACAACGAAGATATGAAACCATACTCAACAAGGAAAGGATCACAATCCGACAACAACGATGATTAACACAAGTCATCATCCACAATAGGAAAGGACAAACAACACACGCTAGCATTTAAACACCGAACTAGCATGCTTATCAAACGGGTAAACTAAACATAGTTCCGAAGAACACACAAGACTCATCCTGGTTCAACGAATCACAAGGTTGAACACTTAGCACGATTCAAGACACCAAGACCTACATGGAATCCTACCATATAGTTCTAGACATACGAGACATCAAGAAGACGCTCAAAAGCCCAACAAAAGAACATCGGGAAGTCAAAACATCAATTACCGAGTCAAAAGAATCACGGGGAACAAATCCCCAACGAACACCATATATGTACCCGCGGGTGGGGCCACGGGTGGACCCCCACCAGTGGTTCCGCCCGCGGGAACCACTTCCCACAACCAACGTACCTCGCGGGTGGACCCCTACCCGCCGTTCCGCCCGCGGTTACCGATCCCTGAACAAAATATCCCTTCGGGGATTTTCAACACCAAGCTCAAATTCAAGTCCAAAACATCCAAAATCGCACCGAATACAACAAAATGACTTGAATCAAATGAATAGCCAAGCAATGGCATACAAAAACCCTAATAACAAGCTCTAGATATGCATTTTCACAAGACAATGCATCAACACTTACATTTCATAGCAAAATCACATGTAGAATCCAATAAATCATCATATAAGTAAGTAAAATAGATTTTGTAAAGCATGGGTTACCTCATCTGCTTAACATCCAAAGACAACGCCAACTTAAGCTCAACTCACAAAGCCAAGCTACCGGGAATTTGTGAATCACATCGGCTTTCACTAATTAAAACAAGCTAATAAAACAATTAAAACTACTTTAATTATAAGAGGATTTGAACCTTAACTTCTCATTAACACCAACCACCCCACTAACCAACTAAGCTAAGTTTCACTTGTTGATTCTTAAGTAACACTAACCAATTAACACTAATCAAATAAACAAAACTAACAATTAAAACTAACTAGGCTATAAAGAGATTCAAACCCTAGCCAACACCCAATACTAACCACTACCTTACCACAAAGCTAATTAAACATTTAATAACTTATGCTTAACAAAAACCTAATAATCTAAACAAGCAACTAAGGTAACAAAACAACAGCTCACCTCATCGTCTTCTTCACTCTGCATGGAGCCGCGGGTGGAACGACGTACACATCACGACCCGTCTAACTGCCCGCTGCCAGAGCGCTTTCCGCCGGAGGGAACCGAGACCGCCACCGCAACCGAATGAGCTCGCCGGAGAAGGAAGGCAGCTAACCACCACCCACGCTGCTTGCTCTGCCCGCCGGAATAAGGGGTGTCGTGTAGCTCTTTCTGCCGGACTCCCACACTAGCCTCCGCCGCTGGACGACCATCGGAGAAAGGACAACATTGTTGGAGGAGCCGCCAAACTCGTTCGTCGACTTGCATTCTGACGGAGCTTCTACAGGTTCGAACTACACCGGAGGGAAGAGAAAAAGAGAGATACAAGGGGAAGGTTTGGGGTGAGGTTCTTGCCTCCGTGAACGGGAAACCGAACGAGAGAGAAAGACACGAATGGGAGGGGCAGAGATGTGGGGGTTCGCCGGCTGGTTTAGCGAAGAGAAAAATCGAAAGAGTGTTTGGCTGATGAAGGAAGAAGGACACAGCTGCCAAATAGGGGTCTAGGGCTTGATACAATACACACATACACACTATAGGTAGTAGGGTTCATAGTCGGTTGGGTTACACTAATTGTGGATTTTAGGCCAAACATCTTGGGCTCACCAAAGTAATTATAACACATATATTTATACAACATATGGGCTTGACTAGTTGGGTTCAGGACTCATATATTATATAGTCTTAGGATAAATAAACACTTGGGCTCAAAGAATAATTATTAGGCCTTAGGGATTAAAACCATTTTGCGGCTTGAAACATTTAGTACAAATATATTGGTTCACAATAATAGGTAGACCCGGGCCCATTTCAAAATAAATATTTATATAAATATTTTTAATTAATATCGGGACTATAGTTTATTTTAGGAAAATATGGGGTGTCACATCCTCACCCCCTTAAAAGAAGCTTTGTCCCCGAAGCTGGAAAAATCATTTTGGGGATAAGAGTGTCACAAAACTTACGATAGTAT